ATCGCCGCGATATATATTACAGAAGAGCAAAAGAAGAAGGTTTTCGGGCTCGTTCTGCTTATAAACTTCTGCAATTAGACGATGAACTCCATTTCTTATCTCCGCCTTCTCTCGTGGATTTGAACACCAACGAGGCCACAGACTGTTCAGATTCTTCTCTCTCTGAAGGCGAAGAAGATTGCTCTTCTTATGAAGGCAACTGGCCTTCTTGTATGGCTCCTGCAGCTGAGAAAGAAGCAGAGGAAACCAGCAGCGACAGCAGCAGCCGAAACAACAACAACAAAAACAACAAAAACAACAATGATTCATATTCAAACAAAGAAGAAACAAATTCAAATTGTTTCCGCACACTTTCTGTGTGGGATTACCCACACAGAGCTGTTGATCTCTGCGCTGCACCCGGCAGCTGGACGCAAGTCCTCAGGCGTCGTTTGTGGCGAAACTATGAATTAAAGCTTCAAGAATACAACAAATACCAGCAGCAGCAGCAGCAGCAGCAGCAGCAGCAGCAGCAACAACAACAACAGCAGCAGCAGGTTGTCGGGAGTACTGCGACGGCCACTAGCCCGAGCAGCAGCAGCATAGCTCCATCATCATCCGCACCGCCACCACCACCATCATCATCATCAGCAACAGCAGCAGCAGCAGCAGCAGAATGTGCATCTGCTGCAGCATCAGTTTCATATATTTCCCCTCCTGCTCCCCCTATGATTGTGGCTGTGGATTTGNTGCATCTGCTGCAGCATCAGTTTCATATATTTCCCCTCCTGCTCCCCCTATGATTGTGGCTGTGGATTTGCAGGAGTTGGCGCCTATTCCGGGTGTATATACACTGCAAGGGGATATAACGCATGCATCTACTTGTGCAGCAATTCTTTCTTTTTTTGAGAATAAACCAGCAGACTTGGTGGTTTGTGATGGAGCCCCAGATGTTACAGGAATGAGGGATATTGATGAGTTTACACAGATGCAGCTTCTTCTTGCTGCTGTTGGTACTGCTGCTGCTGTATTGAGGCCTGGGGGTGTATTTGTTTGTAAGGTATTCAGAGGAGAACAAACACCTCTGCTGTATATGCAGCTCATGAGTTTGTTTGCTGATGTACGCTGCTGTAAGCCGGCTGCATCCAGAAGCAGCAGCATAGAGGCATTTGTAGTATGCAGGGGGTTCTCCCCTTCCCTACAGCTGCCTATTCAACCCCAAAACAACTCACATATAAACATAGAAACAGATGAAANTTCTCCCCTTCCCTACAGCTGCCTATTCAACCCCAAAACAACTCACATATAAACATAGAAACAGATGAAAAAATAAAAACAGAAACAGAAACAACCGTAGCAACAGAAACGGCAGCAACAGCAGCAGCAACTGCAGCAACACCAACAGCAGAAACAGCAGCAAAATGCAGCAGCAAGGATCTATCTTGTCTGTGGGCTGAAGAGGTGGTTGGTGTTTTGGTTCCTTTTTTAAATTGTGGAGATATAAGAGGAATGGATTCAGACCGCAACTACAACATCTCCAGGTGTACATACACCCCAATTCCACCTACACAGCCACCAACACATCCTGCATATGAGCTGGCTGTGCTGAGGAAGAGGGGTCTTCTTCCTTCTTGATTTATTTGTTTTGTTTGTTTGTTTGTTTTTAAATAATAACAACAATTAAACCCCTTTTCTGGCGCTGTAGTAAACATGCAACTGACACTCATTCAGCCCCCCATACACGGACAGAAGGGAGAGAAGGATGAGCATATTTCTTCCTTCTTTGCATGCAAATTCACATAAATTAAAACCTTTATATAAATATATATGCATATATATGCATATATATGTAATATAGATATATATATTTCATCGAAACGACGTGAGCGTTCAGGGGTTTACATAGGCATGCATGTGCTCCTATTTGTGTTTTTATGCATGTATATACATAATATATTGATATAAATCAATACTTATATATATATAACA